CCCAGTCGGAGACCGAGGTGGTGGCCCTACCGCCCGGCCCTGGCGACCGGGGGGAGGGGAGGCCCAGGACAGGGCCCTGGCCGGGGCCCTCAGCACAGACTGGCATCCTTCGGAAATGGCGGGTGTGCCAGACTGTCCTTCGGAAATGGCGCTATCAGTCTGCACACCCGTTCTTCAGTTTTTGAGAGTTTGTGGTGGGTGGCCCATGGGGCCCACCCAGCCGTTGACATCTGACAGGGGAAGATGAGTCCCTGGCACCAACACATTGCTCGGATAAAAGAGTTATCGCTTGCTTGTGTGGTGCCGTTTGGTTAGCTTACATACACTTTGTTAATGTTGAAACGCATGTGGAAACATGAACTGTGTTTGGAATGCTTGACCATAATGGCATGTGCCATTTTGGCTCAAGCATTGCTCTGGGTTCTTGGAACCCAATCTGTGTGAAAACCCACCCACCCACACCAAGGTAAGAGGTCATGGCGGCTGCGCCCGCCAAACCACCGGAGGAGGTCCCAGCGGAGTTCAAGGAGGACGTGGCAAAGTTGCAGAAGCCACTGGCGGCCATCCTGGTGGGCACATTCCTGGAGGAGGTCCCCATGGGCATGGTAGAGGGCCCCTTCACCAAGGTGGAGGCAGCAGCGCGCTGTGGCTGCAAGATTGAGGACCTTTGTCCCGGCCCCCTAGCGGGCATCGACGAAGGGGACAAGATCCGCACCATCTACGATGGCTCGGTGGGCGGGGCCAATGACACCATCAGGAACCAGACGGTGGAAAGGACGACGGCTCCGACGGTGCTGGATGGGGTACAAGCTCTTCATTGGCTACATGCGGCAGCTGCGGAGGGACCTCCCTCTCAGGGTGCCCCTGGCCCCGAGAAGGAGGTCGTCAAACCTCCACCTGGGGGCTGGCTATGGCCGGAGCCGGGCACCAGGTGGGTGCTGCTCAAGGCGGACGTCACCAAGGGTGGCTTCACTGGGGGAAGAATGGTGGGTGAACAAGGTAGGCACATACGGCATGGCCAGTGCCCAATCAACGCCTGGCAGCCCTTCTACTCAGGGTCCTCTACGCACTTTTCCCTCAAGTGGATTGGAACTTCGTCTTTGTGGATGACTTCCTGTGGCTGCTTCGAAGCGAGGGGGCAGTAAACTTGGCGGTGGCGCTGTTGGCAACACTCCTGGCCTTGGGCACCCCGCTTAGCTGGAAGAAGACACATTTGGCGGAGGTCAACACGTGGCTGGGCTTCGTGGTCCACCCGAACATCCTCAGGTTCTCATGGCCGCCAACAAACACATCCTGGTGATGGAGGTCTTGCAGACCATGGTGGAAGGGCAGGCGAGCACTCAAAGGACATCTAGAAGGCCCTGGGCCGCATCCAATGGGCAACTGCTGCATGTCCGCTGGCGAAGTCGATGCTTCAGCCACTTTGGGCCTGGAAGATGGCCACCACCACGGTGGGGAAACCCCCCAAACTGGTCAGGATGCTGGCGTTCATGCTGCGGTTCCTCTTCAACACGCCCTTCGTCCAGTACTCCCCTTACTTGCCGAAGTCCTCTTGGTGGGGTTGCAGCGATGCTAGCGCCTCGGACGAAGGACTGGCATTTGTGGGAGGATGGTGCTCCAACAAAATGGAGCCGGAAAAGAAGGAGGTGTACTGGTTCCACGAGCAGATCCACGTGGAGGAGTACCCTTGGGCATTCAAGAATGGGGATCCCAAGCGGAGGATTGCGGCTTTGGAAATGCTGGGCACGCTCTTCCTCTGTAACATGATCCTCACGCACCAAGGCCCTCTGTCCTCCCGGGTCCGACTCCCGGTGGGCAGTGACAATCAGGGCAACGTCATGGCGATGCTCAACCTTGGATCCAAGAAGCCCTACACTGCGGCGATCCTGATGGAGCTGGTCTTCCTGCTCCACACCCATGGCTGCTCGCTGGCGGCCAACCACGTGCCCCGGGAATTCAACCAGTGGGCTGATGAGCTGACGCACCCAGATTTCTCTGGGTTCGACCCTTTGCACAGGGTCCCCAAACAGGAACTCTGCGAGGAGTTCGTTTTTCTCCCGCGTCTCCTGAATGGAGATGCATTTGATCTTAGCGTGGGCCCACCCATGCTCCCGTGACCGGAGCCGGTGGGTGACTCACTTCCCCTGGTGGCAGACCCCCCTGTGGCCTGGGTGCCCCGGGCCCCGGCTCAGGGGCGGGCGCTATCAGTCTGCACACCCGTTCTTCAGTTTTTGAGAGTTTGTGGTGGGTGGCCCATGGGGCCCACCCAGCCGTTGACATCTGACAGGGGAAGATGAGTCCCTGGCACCAACACATTGCTCGGATAAAAGAGTTATCGCGTGCTTGTGTGGTGCCGTTTGGTTAGCTTGCATACACTTTGTTAATGTTGAAACGCATGTGGAAACATGAACTGTGTTTGAAATGCTTGACCATAATGGCATGTGCCATTTTGGCTCAAGCTTTGCCCTGGGTTCTTGGAACCCAATTTGTGTGAAAAACCCACCCACCCACACCAAGGTAAGAGGTCATGGCGGCTGCGCCCGCCAAACCACCGGAGGAGGTCCCAGCGGAGTTCAAGGAGGACGTGGCAAAGTTGCAGAAGCCACTGGCGGCCATCCTGGTGGGCACATTCCTGGAGGAGGTCCCCATGGGCATGGTAGAGGGCCCCTTCACCAAGGTGGAGGCAGCAGCGCGCTGTGGCTGCAAGATTGAGGACCTTTGTCCCGGCCCCCTAGCGGGCATCGACGAAGGGGACAAGATCCGCACCATCTACGATGGCTCGGTGGGCGGGGCCAATGACAATCAGGAACCAGACGGTGGAAAGGACGACGGCTCCGACGGTGCTGGATGGGGTACAAGCTCTTCATTGGCTACATGCGGCAGCTGCGGAGGGACCTCCCTCTCAGGGTGCCCCTGGCCCCGAGAAGGAGGTCGTCAAACCTCCACCTGGGGGCTGGCTATGGCCGGAGCCGGGCACCAGGTGGGTGCTGCTCAAGGCGGACGTCACCAAGGCCCACCGGAGAGTGGGTCCTCAGGAAGGACTGGCGGTTCCAGGTGGCTTCACTGGGGGAAGAATGGTGGGTGAACAAGGTAGGCACATACGGCATGGCCAGTGCCCAATCCTACTGGGGACGCCTGGCAGCCCTTCTACTCAGGGTCCTCTACGCACTTTTCCCTCAAGTGGATTGGAACTTCGTCTTTGTGGATGACTTCCTGTGGCTGCTTCGAAGCGAGGGGGCAGTAAACTTGGCGGTGGCGCTGTTGGCAACACTCCTGGCCTTGGGCACCCCGCTTAGCTGGAAGAAGACACATTTGGCGGAGGTCAACACGTGGCTGGGCTTCGTGGTCCACCCGAACATCCCGCAGGTTCTCATGGCCGCCAACAAACACATCCTGGTGATGGAGGTCTTGCAGACCATGGTGGAAGGGCAGGCGATGCACTCAAAGGACATCGAGAAGGCCCTGGGCCGCATCCAATGGGCAACTGCTGCATGTCCGCTGGCGAAGTCGATGCTTTCTGTGGGCCTGGAAGATGGCCACCACCACGGTGGGGAAACCCCCCAAGGTGGTCAGGATGCTGGCGTTCATGCTGCGGTTCCTCTTCAACACGCCCTTCGTCCAGTACTCCCCTTACTTGCCGAAGTCCTCTTGGTGGGGTTGCAGCGATGCTAGCGCCTCGGACGAAGGACTGGCATTTGTGGGAGGATGGTGCTCCAACAAAATGGAGCCGGAAAAGAAGGAGGTGTACTGGTTCCACGAGCAGATCCACGTGGAGGAGTACCCTTGGGCATTCAAGAATGGGGATCCCAAGCGGAGGATTGCGGCTTTGGAAATGCTGGGCACGCTCTTCCTCTGTAACATGATCCTCACGCACCAAGGCCCTCTGTCCTCCCGGGTCCGACTCCCGGTGGGCAGTGACAATCAGGGCAACGTCATGGCGATGCTCAACCTTGGATCCAAGAAGCCCTACACTGCGGCGATCCTGATGGAGCTGGTCTTCCTGCTCCACACCCATGGCTGCTCGCTGGCGGCCAACCACGTGCCCCGGGAATTCAACCAGTGGGCTGATGAGCTGACGCACCCAGATTTCTCTGGGTTCGACCCTTTGCACAGGGTCCCCAAACAGGAACTCTGCGAGGAGTTCGTTTTTCTCCCGCGTCTCCTGAATGGAGATGCATTTGATCTTAGCGTGGGCCCACCCATGCTCCCGTGACCGGAGCCGGTGGGTGACTCACTTCCCCTGGTGGCAGACCCCCCTGTGGCCTGGGTGCCCCGGGCCCCGGCTCAGGGGCGGGCGCTATCAGTCTGCACACCCGTTCTTCAGTTTTTGAGAGTTTGTGGTGGGTGGCCCATGGGGCCCACCCAGCCGTTGACATCTGACAGGGGAAGATGAGTCCCTGGCACCAACACATTGCTCGGATAAAAGAGTTATCGCGTGCTTGTGTGGTGCCGTTTGGTTAGCTTACATACACTATTGGACCTTTGACGGCGCCCTTGGTCCCATAATGGCAACCGGAGGAGGACCGTTGCTAAACCTGGGGGTTGCAAACACCTAGCCACCCACTATAGGGATGACTCGACTCGCTGGAATGGCCAGTCCGAAACAGATGTCAGGAGATGATGTTGAGAGGTTCCCGTGCAAAGGGTTGTGTAGGCTGTTTTAGTTGGCGAACTTGAAAGCGAGCAACCCATTCTTTCAAGCTGTCCAATAAGGTGTGGTTGATTCAGGCAGTCCCAAATTGATGAATGGATGGCTTGGATTGCTGCTGTGCTGCGGAGCCAGCCTTTTGCTTCAGTTTGGTGAGTGTCTCGACTTTTGCCCGGCCAGTCATCCCATCCGGTCAGTAAAGGTACTCTCTTGCAGGTTTAATGTGGAAGCCAAAAAGCCATCAAGAAAAACGAAGCTCCGCTATCTGGGGGGTTCCATGTTGATTTGCAGGGTGTACTGAAGAGGATGTATGGATCCCTGCTCGCCCGGAGTTCGGCTGACGTGCGTGCAGGTGAGGTGTTGATCTCCAACGACGGCGCCACCATTTTGTCGCCCCTCAGCCGAAATTTCGGAACAAGTTTCCGGGCCTCGCTGCAGCTTTTGCGAGCCTTTGGTGGCTCACGAGGTGCGTTGGAGTGCACGTGTTGCTGGGAAATTACTCAGTTGTAGCGAACACACTTCGGGTTCCTTGGTGGTACTTGCTTGACACAGCGGGGATCTGAGAAACCCCAGTTGAGGAGCACAGTCGTTGCTGGTAGCCCCAAGCAGTGGGGATCATTAATTGTTGTACAGCCCATGATTGAATTTGCACCGACTGGGCGCTCCTTAAGGACATGCGAAATATGCTTTTCAAATTGTTGAATTGAGTAATTTAATATTTGAAGGGTTTATCGGCGACGATACATTTTTCGTGTCATCTCAGGATGTGAACATGGTAAACTTTAAAATTTAATACCATCCAGCCGCGCATGGATGAAGATTTCGGTCATGGCCAAATTGCGCGCCAGATGAGCTGTTTGTGGCAGCCTTCACCTGCGACGAATTCACTTGACCATTCAGCTATGGACAATGACAATTTGTGGTTCGTGAAGCAGCTGAGCGCCACTGACAACTGACCTTCCATCATGGCTTGGTTGCTTCTCTGTGGCAGCGCCCGGGCTTGACCCTGGGAAGCTTGATGTGCCCAGTCAGTCAACGTTGCAAGTCAACCCACTATTAACGAGGTCTACTTCTGGCACTTCAATCGCCATCGGTGGTATGCCAAGCCGAACGGGGCAACAACAACAACAGCGACAGTGACAATGACAGTGACATGATTCCCAATCATCAACTCTGTGGTGCAGACATTCAGCTCCAGCAAATAACTACCAACCATGCTTGATAAATGCTCTTGCCCACACAGACACGCAGAGCAGCCGGACTAGCATTTTCCTTCCAATGCGAAAACCAGCTGGCCTGGCAATTCGGCAGGCACATTGCTTCTTGAAAGCTGCTTGCAAGCTGGTGGGCTAGCTGAGCTCAGGACGGTAAGATCAAGCCACCTGCGCGCACCGTGACAGGGCGCGATGTTCCACCATGATTTCAAACAGTCACAACGGCCAAGATTATACAACGAATGAGCGCAGCACATGCCTGATTTTCCCCCCGCACGTGCCAACTCAAGGGCTGGCACCTGGCAAAACCCAGGTTTCTTCATCACTGTCTGGGAGGACAGTGTCATTGGCAACAACAAGCTTGATGTTGTCAGGCTTTGGGCTGTTCCCAGCCAGGTCTTTATTGACACAGTTGGTGTCACCAACTGTCCGCTCGGCAGCATCAGCACTGTCGCTATGGCCTGCTGACTGGAACTCCGGCTTCAGCAAGAGTTGAAGGCGGTCGCTTCGAAGCTGCTTGAGGTGCAGCTGTTTCACCAGAGGCGTCATTGGTGGCAGTGGTGGGCGACAACAGGACAATGACTGATGGCTAAGCCAGCTGGCCACTGCCGCACAAGTTTGTTTCAATCTAAAACTAAATTCAATGCATCAATGTCAATGTCAATGTCAAGCCGGAAGTGAATCTGGACCAACCTCCAACAGCTTGATAGGGGCCGAAAGGACACCAACACATCGCCTTCGTCACACTGACAATCAAATGAAGGAACGGCGCCAGCACTGTGAACAGAACAATGTGTCAGTGCCGCTCTTTACTTCTATCAATCTGCAGCTGGCAAGTAAAGCCAGTTCTGGCCCTTATCAAATGCCATGATTTTTTGAGTTATTCCTCGGGCTGATGACGTTGAACTACGAATCAAAAAAAAAGACAGATTTGAGACTGCTACAGCTTTCAGGGATTCATCACGAGGGCCTGCGCTGCCTGCTAGACAAGTTGGCAGCCAGCAAACGGCTGTGCTCTTCAAGCGCATTTTCACCCGACTCTTGAAGATCATCGACAATCACCAGCGCCGGGGCAGTACAATGCCCAGCACGCATTTCCAAAATCAGCCGAAAGCGGCAGGACAATGACAATGCAATGACAACGACAATGCTCAGACTCAGACAGTGACCCGCTCTCACTCCTCCGAGTTGAGCTCTTCCTCCGCCACCTGGGCGACAAGGCTGTGTCAAGGCACAGATGGGACACCATGCCTTTCAAGCACAATCAATTTATTAACCAAGCAGGCCTCCAGGTCGGACATGTTATCGCCGGCGCCCTCCTCGCCGTCGTGGCCGCCCTCCTCGTCATTGTCGTCCTCGGCACGCGGCTTCTTGCTGGCCGTCTTCTTGCCGCCCTGCTGAGACTTGCGGCGTTTCTTGTTGCTTCCCTTGACGGCCTGCTTCTTGCTCTTCTTCGGCGGATTTCCGCCATTGCTGTCATCAAGCGTGAGAGCACTCTTGAGCAGCTTGGCAAGCGGGGCTTTGAAGTGCCGACTCTTGGCGTCCGTGAAGCTGTGGAAGATCAGCTTCTGGCACTCTGCGCGAAGCCAGGTGCAATGATCCGCTGTGTAGCCTGGTGGTGACATAAATAGAAGTCACTGTCACTGTCATTGGCCAACAACAACGACTACTTAGCAAAATTGGAAAACTACCCAGAAACTTGAAAAGCGTGGCTTGCAGACAAGGCACCCACAGCACACACCGGGATGCCCTGAGCCAGGAGAGGCAAAATTGTTGTCGGGCAAGATGCAGTGAGCAAGTACACCACACGAGACCAAGTGCTTGTGAGGGGCTGACCAATTGATGGGCTCCGGCACTCCAACCTCAGCTCCAGACGACGACCCAGCCGCCGCATCAGAACTTGACTTGCGCCTTCCCCTGGACTGGTCAGACACCCTGGCCGCTCCCAACAACTTGGCCTTCGTCTCGATGCCCAGGCGGGCGATGAGGGACTCGGCATCCAATGGGTTCTTCGACACTCCGTAAACACTGTCACCTGCTGTTGAGCCTTGGTGATGGCGATTCTTCCTGGACCCAATGATTTCGGCAAGGGGTGTGTCATTGGAGCTGACAACGTGGATCATCTCGAGCTGCTGGAGGTGGAACACCTGAGACACTGACTGCTGGCAACTGGACGCTGACAACGAGCGCACAGACTCACAAATTTAAAGCCCTTGACATGTGGCAACAAAAGGCCAAGAAACAGCTGCCTTTCTAATTAGAAAAGCGCAACGACAAATCCATGTCATTGTCTGACTGGGCCTACATTTGTGAGATCTGGCCACAGGCACAACATCGACACACCACCAGAACTTCAACACAAGACCTTACTTGCAAATGATTCGCGCGTGCACCTGTCAAGACGGAAGCTGACACTATTATTGTTATTTGTGTGGCATGGGCCAACGACGACTTCAAGCACTCAGGCAAGCGGCGGAGCGGTCCCGGGCGCCACCGCTCACAGCACGGGCCTCGCGCTCCAAAGGCTGAGTCATTGTCAAGACGGGAATGCAAGCATTGCAGACAGCATTGATGCACACGGACAGATCACAAGGAGAAGCAAACAACACAGGCTGCCTTGCGGTGCTCCGTGACGGCCTCTTCGCTGTAGATTAAGTTCACCCGCCTTTGGGCCACATTCCCGGCAGTCTTGGTGAACATGCTCGTGAAGTTGGTCCCATGCGTGGACCGCCCGCCATCAGTGAAGATATAGACATCACAAGCTTGCGGGCACAGCGCCGGGGCCTCATCTGCATCCCAGTCGGGCGCCTCAGGCTCCCTGATCGACATGGCAGCCATTATAGTCTTCTCGAGCTGTTCCCTCCTCAGCGGAGTCAGCGACCTCCTTGGGTCTGAGCTCTGTTCGCCGCTGCTTTCGTTGTCATACCAGAACAGCACAGTGCCAGCTTTGGGGCTGCCACGCACCTTGGACACCTCCAGGGCACGGAGGGCAAGGGCGAGCTGCTGGCATGACACTGACCCATCGACAGTTGACAAGAGAGATGACACCAGTGTCTTCGACTCGTCGACGGCATCCCGCACCTGCAACGCATCATCATCCTTCATTTCTTTGACAGTGACCTTGGCCTCGCTGGCGACAAAGGAGACAAACGAATCGAGCTGCTCGTCAGCCGACTGCAAAAAACTGTCATTGCCCGCCATGGGCACGGCGTCATTTTTCTCGGAGCCTGACACCTTCGACCATAGTGGCGCAACATCAGTGTGCTCGAGGAACTCCTGAAGACTGGCCCCCCACCGCACTGATCCCTTCAGCACGCCGTCCCACTTCGCCGTGTAGGCTATGTCAGCAGCAAACTTCGCAGCAAGCTGCCCGGCCGCACTCAGGGCACCAAGCCAGGACAGGTTCTGGGCGGGTTTAGTCGCTCCCTCCAACCTCTGGGTCAGAGTGGCCCGGTTGAAAGGCCACCCGCCAAAGTGCTCCCGGTAGGCGGTGTGGCTGGCAAGGGCACGCCTGGCAAGGGTCTATTTTTGAGTGATGAAAACAGGGCAGGGGCCTTTTGGGACATTGTTGGGACACTTTACCTTGTCGGACTTGCAACAATCGACGGGAAACATACTCTGAGAAGAGGCAGGACAGTGGCGGGCAATCATTGGGGACAACCTCAGCTGCTACTACTACGACTACTGGCCTGATAATGGCAACATCCTCCTGATCCACGTGCATCTCAATCTTTGCCAGCAACAGCGACAAATTCTCCCGCTTCCACAGCCAAACATGGTACAGCCTGAGATGAACTATCACACGCAGCCTGACACACATTACAAGTTCAACGTTGGCATTGACGATTGACACCGGCCGGCCAAGCTGAACATATTTTTCCAGGCAGCCCCTTCGGATTCGACTTGCCTCCGCTCAGGGCTGAGCTGTTCATTTCTGCGACTTTGCAGACCCCGTTCAGCACATAATCGCACAAGGACGTGAAAAGCCAGCTGATGCTTTCCACATCACTGCGAGCGATTTTGATAAGGTCCTCTAGCTTGGCGACGGAATCTATCGGAGTCCTCTTCCCGAAAAGCTCATCGGCCAGGAAGGCCATCTCCTGCCAGACAAGTTGAGGACATTGGCAAATACTGGCTGATGTGGCGGTGGCTGACAATGACTGGATGACATGACAGTA